GGATGGAACTATTACCTTATAGATGATATCTTTTCATTATTTATGTATTGTCCATGGTATCTGGAATGGCTATGATTTGCATTGATTACTCACCGATGTTTCCTTGCCGGAGATATGCAGACCGATCACAAGCGGGCGCGCATGGTGGACATTTGTGGCCAACCCATTTATGGATGACAGCTGCGCGATGCGCAAATGCGGCAGCTGGAATGTTCACTGGCGGTCAAGTGAAGTGGCCACAGTGTATTATATACACCTGCATATGGATGAGTGCTTCGATTGGAGGATGAATGTTTCACTTTTCGTACAATCGAACCCGGCATGTTTCACAGCGAATGAACGGTGTAGTGATAGCAAGTAAAAGAATGCACGACACGATTTCGTAGTTGAAGCCGTGGCCAGTGGAACGTTTTGTGGTGTTTGGACCGCATGATGAACAATGCGACCCAAATGGGGGATGTTAAAACCCTCTAGGCCCCGTGCCGAAATTGGGTAGCTGTTCTGAGGTCCTTGTTGGTGTTGCTTCCCAAGTTCCATTGATTGCCATTTGGCTCAAGACACAATTGAGGTTCAAGATCTGATGTGTGACTGCGGATATCCGTGATTGGCATTAGGAGGAAAACAACTGCTTGCGCCGCACTGTCAGGACTACTGGTGTAACTATCATTCCTTCTTCCTTACAACGTTTACACGGGTTCGGCTATAACGGCATCGTCCGTATACACCTTTCTACGTGGTTGGTATTAAAGCTTGAGGGTTCGGTGCACAGCGTCCCACGGGACGTCACCTTGCCGTCTCTTGACACTCCTCAATCCATCCACGTGAGGCTTAGCCTAATAGCTTAGCTCGAGCCCACCCTTCGTGAGCATCAAAGATTCAAGGACATGGCATGTTCTTCACAGCGTCCATAACTGCAGTAACAAATCGTTGCTGCCTACCTTAGCCACAGGCTTGAGAACCCTGCGAAGAAAATCTGCGACGGGGGTGAAATTAACAACGGTGCGGATTTATTTTGGTGTTTGTTTTCTTCGTTTTTGGTTGGTTTAGTTTAGTTTATCGCCAGGCCAGTGAAATGTCGTATTTTACAGCATTTTCTCGCGACACTTCCTCAGCATCGCTTTCAACATCCCCTGCATGTCCGACCAACATCCCCCGCATCCCCAACAAATCGTGGGTAACAAAATCTAAAAAGTAGCGGGGGGTGGGAGGGGGGCAGCCCGAGTTTGAAGGGGGGCGGCAACCCCCCCCCCCCGCCATGATGTTCAAAGAAGTGATGATTCAAACAGGGGAGCAATTGAATCTCTGCAAAATGTCTAGAGCGTAGCGGGGGGGTTGGGGGGGCAGCAGCCCCCGCCATGATGTTGGAAGAAGTGATGATTCAAATAGGGGTGCAATGATTCAAGAAAGGGCGCGACAGACTACAAAAAGCAGCGGGAGGGTTGGCGGGGGTGGTTTTGCCTATGATGTTCGAAGAAGTGCGTACATACAGACATACATAGATTACACAAAATGCCGTATTTTGCAGCGTTGTATCGCGACATTGGATGCTTGAAAAAATGATGGTTCAACTAGATGTGCAATTAAACCTCTGCAAGAACCAAAAAAGTAGCGGGGGCGTTGCAGGGAGGCGGCCCGCAGGACGTTTGAAGAAGTGATGATTCAAATGAAATGGGGGTGCTCTGCAAACAATCTAAAAAGTAGCAGAGTTGGGGGGGTTCACCCCATGATGTTCGAACAAGTGATGATTCAAATTAGGAGGAGCTGGTGATGCTGAGGTCCCGAAGCCAAGGCCAAAACCCAATGAAAGGGTGCAAGAAACAAAAAGCCCGGAGAGGAACTGGAAAAGCAAAGGATGCAAAAAGCCAAAGCCACCAAAAGGCGCATAAACCAGCGAAAAGCCGCAAAAGCCAAAACGCCACCAGGAACTGGGAATGCAGAGGATGCGAAAAGCCAGGAAGCCGAAAATCCTCGAAAGCCCCAAAAAAACAAAGAAGCCACCAATAAAAAATAAGAGAAAATACACTTCCATTTAAGAGGGGTCCTTACCTCGGAAGCCGCCTCAGCAAGCAAGATCATATACCCCCTACACTTTTCAATGCATTTACCAACAGTCTCCTAAAACGCACAATTTTGTTTCATTCAGTGGCCTAGGGGTCAGACCCTCTAACGAAAACCCGTGATGAAGACCTCCAGGTCCAACAGCTCCGGTGGAAAGGACCGCCCTGCTGAAGGAAGCCCTCGAGGTCCGCAAAGCATTCTGGACGGTCACCTTCTCGGCTCGCTTGACCAGCTGTTGGCCCAACCGCCGGCAAGCCGCCTGCCACTCAGCCGGGCCCAACCGCACCTGCTCCGCCACAACCTCCGGCTGCGGCAGCCTCACCCCCCGATGCCTTGCCAGGGCAGAAGCCACCACGGATGATGAGGGACGCACCGTCGCCCGAGCCGCGTCCGGCGCCAAAGACTCCTGCTGCGCCGATCGCGCTTGCCAACTAGCGATCAGCCAGGCCGAAACCACCCTGGAGCTTCGCCTGCTCAAAGTCCCTGTCGTCCAGCAGCCCGCGCTCGCGCCTCCACTCCTGGACACGCGCAGCAGAGGCCTTGTCCAAAGCGCTCTCCGGCGTCCAGGAAGAGCCCCCCTCCATGGCCATCCAGGCATAGATCCCATGCTCCTGCGCCATGGCGCTAGCTGCTGCCAAGCCCAAAATTGCTGCTGCAGTCCGGGCATACTGAGCGGCCGTTGCGAGTGGCAAACGTAGGACAATAGCAAAGGACACACACACCGGTGGGAAAAAATCAACGCCACCGGCGAGGCCAATCAGCCAGCGCCAAAGCGCTCGCCCTGGCCCCCACTGCCCCGCCACCGGGGAGTCCCAGGACCGGTTCATACGCTGCCACCGGCGCCAAGCCGTGAAAATCGCTCCGCGGCTGAGTCCACCATGAGGGGAGGCATCCACCCAGTGAAGCAACCGCTGCTCGGACAAGAAATCCGCCCGCACCCTCCCGGACGCAAGTGGCGCCAGGAGCAGGAGATCCAACCTCTCCAGGTTAGCATGGTAGCCACTCCACACTTCGGCCGGTGATGCTCCAGGCTGGGCCAGAAAACTACGGCGAGTCCAAATCCCGAGCCACGGGAAACGGAAACCCCCCCTACCTTGCTCACACCGCGGGCATGGGGAAAGAGTGCAAGGGCAGTCCTCCAAGGGGGGCAACCCGCCAACAACAAACTCCGCATCAAGGATGTGTGGTTCATGAATGAAAACCACCACGGACTCCCATAGTGCCAAAGCCCCCGCCCGGTCCCCCCGGGCGAGCAGGCCTTCAACATGCGCCCTGAAATCCAGCAAGGCCCCCGCGGAAAGAAGGGCCTCATCGCAATGCACCGCCACATCAACACCCTGACGTGCGTACCGCATGGGGCGCACGAAGAAGAAAAATACACTTAGCCAGTTTGGCTCAAGGCACTTGAGCCAAAATGGTAATTGTATAACACCATGAGGAATGATCAGTGTCTACCCAAGCCTACCAAACTCGAGACACAACCATTTTCTCCCGCGCCTTTTTCCATCGCCTGGTTCTCCCCCCCTCCCAGAAAAGTTACGGGATGCCCCCGGGCACAAGAAATCTCGGCGGCTGTTTTTATGGAGGCCAGCTCCTCATGGCTGGCTAATGGCGACACAAGGGTGGTGTCAACCACAAGCTGCTGACCCCCCCACAAAGGCAAGCCTCCAGCCGACTGTAAGCCGCGTGTTGCATGCAACTCTGGCACCAGCCTGCTGGCAGACACGCGGATAGGCTGCACGGTGGTAAGTGTACGCATCCTGATCTACGCAGCGTGACCTACGCAGCCTGAGCTACGCAGCCTGACTACGCAGCCTGACTCACGCCGCCTAGCTTACGTAGCCCGACTTACGCAGCCTAGCTTACGCAGCCTGACTTACACAGCCTAGCGTACCCGGCCGAGGCTCGCAGCCTTTAACTCTATCTTCTTTCTTAGCTGGGGGTGGGGCGGGCGCTGGGGGGATGAACCCTCTGCGGGGATCGTGCGTGTCGGAGCGCTCTCTCTGTGGTGCCTTGCGAATTTTCTGCGTGGCTGACGAACACTCTGCTTAGATGGTCGAATCGCTCTCGCTGTGGCGCCGTGCGAAGTTCTGACGTGGCCGACGAACCCTCTGCGGAGATTGTGCGTGTCGGAGCGCTCTCGCTGCGGCGCCGTGCGAATCTCAAAGCTCGCGGACGAACCCTTTGCGGAGATTGTGCGTGTCGAATCGCTCTCGCTGTGGCGCCATGCGAATGTGGCTGCGTGAGTCAGGGTGTGTAAGCGCAAGTCAGCGAGGATTTCCTCGCCCGCTTGCCAGCCCAGCCAGCCAGCGCGCGGCTGCGGCCGGGGCGTTCACACGCCGCTGGGGCCAACTGCTCGCGATCGCCGCCCAAGGCGCATTCGGCGCGAGGCTGCTCGAGCCCCCGGGGGCCCCGGCGGCGACGCATGCCACGCGCCGCTTTTTGGCGACCGCGTAGCTTGGGTTTCCGTGGCTGGTTCGTTCGTTTTTTTTTCAACGCGCCTTTTTCCGGTGCAGCAAGTCACACTGGTCCGGAGCCGCGCAGGCGCTTCCCGTGCCTTGGCGCGGGCAAGGGCGCGCACAAAGGATGCCGCTTCCTCGCTCCGGCGCCCTCCAACCTCCACAGCGAGGACAACCAAGCGGCAGCGATCTGACCGCAAAAGCTCTGGGTATGCTCGTTCCTGGCGGCGGCGCGCCAAAGCCAGCGTTGCGCCTGTACCGTCCGCAGCGCCGCTTGGGCACTCCCTGGCCAGGCAAGGGCGACACCAAGGTGGTGTCGACAGCAAGCTGCTGGCCGTTCCAAAGCGGCAAGCCGTTGGCAACAACTTCAAGCAGCCTGTCGTCGACTCGGTCGACTTGCAAATTCATGTCTGCCAGACGGGTGTTGCAAGTGACACTGTTGAGAGAAAGCGCCAAGTGGTGAGACGAGCACTGGAGTTGTTCATGGAGGATGCCGGCAAGAAGAACGATAGCGGACTCTTGCAGGCTTGTGTATACGTCCCTTCGCAGATTAACTCCATGAGTATGGTGCGAGGATTCACGCCACAGCAATGGGTGACGGGCAAGAACCCCAACCAGGTGCAGTCCCTCACGGGCGAGATCTTCAGCCCGACGGTCAGTGCCATTGACGAGGCCGGCGAGTTTGCAGCGGTGCAGCAGAAGCGGCTTGCAGCGCAGATGGCATTCCTGAAAGCAAACAGTGATGCAAGGCTGAGGAGAGCAATGAACCAAAACTACCGTCAGATCAAGGATGACGTGGTCATTGGACAAGTGGTGTACTACTGCCGAGAGAAGGGTGCAGGTATCTTGCAAAAGCAGAAATGGCGAGGACCTGCACGAGTGGTGGCTACCGAGAAGGACAGTGACTACAAGGACCTCGTGATATGGCTGGCGCATGGAACATCATTTTTGAGGTGTTCACCCCATCAAGTACGTCCTCGAGTGGAGGAGACGGGCATCTCGCTGGTGGCTGATCCCAATGCTGCACTACGAGATCTACAAGCACTCCGAGCACGATCTACCACGCAGTACAAGGATGTCTTTGACCCTACGATCCGTGAGGATCAGGACGAAGATGAGCTGGACGCAGCCTTTGATGAGGAAGCCTCGCCAACATCACCGACGGGGCCAGCGGAGGTGATACCGGTTCCTGGAGTATAGTGGTACCATTCCTGCAGGCGCATGCGAGAAATGTGGAACAGGCATCTGAACCAGAACCGCTACCGCCGCCTGAGGTTGGAGGACGTGACCCAGCATCTTCAGATGGGCGACAGTCATCGCAGCCAGCACAACCATCCGAACCACGAGCGCCTGATGGAAGGGATGAACAGCAGGACCTATGGAGTAAGCGGCAGAAGACTGCACAGGCATCGGATGCTCCTGTTGATGTCCCAGTGCCCATGCAGGATGATGATGATCTCATGCTGGAGAATGTGACGCTTGTGGGTGGAGCTGAACCAGATCTACGTTGGGTAATCGTGGACGGCGAGTTTGAGCTGGATGAGGCATGGCTGGTGAAGAGCCTTCGGAAGAATGAGGCGTGCGAGAAGAACATGACGGTTGACCAGCGAGCTCAGATGATGGAGGCAAAGAAGGCAGAGCTGGAGAACTATTTTCGGAACCAGGTGTGGAACTTTGCGGAGGTGAACCCCGGAGATGAATCGCGGATTGTCTCTGCGCGATGGGTGCTGACCTGGAAGGAAACTGAAGGAGGTGGACCTCGAGCCAAAGCACGTCTGGTGCTGCGTGGCTTTGAGGATCCCGACCTGCTCTACTTTGACAAGGCATCACCAACAGCCGGAAGGCTGGGCAAGAACTTCCTCCTCCTGATTGTCCAGAACAACCGCTGGCATCTGTACGTTGGAGATGTACGGGCAGCTTTCTTGTCTGGATCGCAGTTCGACCGGAAGATCATTGTCAAGCTGCCGAGTGATTGCGGACCACTACTTGGAGTAGTTGGCCCGGCGTACATGAGGCTGCTGAAGAGCGCCTACGGCCTGGCAGATGCACCGCTGTTGTGGTACAAGGAGGCAACGTCGAGACTGCAGTTGCTGAACTTCATCCAGCACAGGATCGACTACTACAAGCAGACGACTGGCGAGATGAAGGCGATTCTGATTGTCCATGTGGACGACATTCTGCTCGGTGCGGACATGAGAGACAAGGAAGTGGTGGAGCTTGTGAGAAAGGTGAGAGCAAGCTTTGATTTCGGCAAGTGGAAGCAGCTGCAGGAGAAAGAGCCAATTGTGTACTGTGGCGGCGCGATCAGCATCCAGAACGGCGAGATCGAGGTGAGCTTTGCGGATTACCTCAGGAAGGTCATGCCCATCACGGTGAACAACAAGGACACCGGCAACCTAACCGACAAGGAGGTCTCCAAGCGCCGAGCACTGTTGGGTGCTCTTCAATGGCCAGCAGGACAAGCAGCGCCACATCTCTGTGCTTCAACAAGCATCCTTGCAGGCGACATCGCCGCGAAGGAGCGCAGCGTGCTGAACGAAGGCATTGCGCTCTGCATGGCGAGTGCGAAAGGTACACACTGTTGAGCTGGAGATCGTTCCGGCTGCAGAGGGTGTGCACAGGAGTTCGTTGTCTGCAGAAAGCCAAGCATGTTCGACAGCCTTGGACGAGCTCACGCTGACTAAGCTTTTCTACTCCCTCATGCTTAACCCGGACCAGGACCTGCGAAAAAGTGAGACGGTGCAAGCAGCTGACGAAAGTGCAATGGTGGTGGACGCTCGAGCTCTTTATGATGCGACGCAGCGGGAGACCATCCAGAACGCCGGCGACAAGAGGGCAGCAATCGAGATCCTCTGCATCAAGGACGCGTTGACCTGGACCGGAAGCAGACTGAGGTGGGTCAGTTCCGAGAGGCAGTTGGCTGACGGAATGACGAAGCTGGCGGCGCGGCAGTCATTGGCTGACGATCTACGTGGAGGCTACATGCAGTTGATCAACGACGGCAACTTCACGGCGGCGAAGAAGAAGTCCAATCAGGAGCGGAAGGCGCAAAGGACAGTCACGAGTGGTGGCAGCGCGGTGGCAAGTTCTCTGGTGGCTATGGTGGCGAATGACAACATCCGGAAGGTCGAGGGTTACATGAACAGCGGCGACGAGGTGATCGACGTGATCTTTGTTGTCGGGATCTTGATTGTCATCCTGGCGGTGATCTACGGCATTGTGAAAGTGCTGGAGGTGTGGATCATTGGGAAGCAGGAGAAGGTGAAGAATGCGCGGAAGCTGGAGGCGGCAACGCAAACCGAGATTGACAAGCGGCCGGAGTATTCGGCCCTGTGGCAGAAGCATCAGGAGCAATCGTTTGAGCTCCAGTACTGGAAGAACGCGGTGCCCTCCTCCGTGGTCGTGACCCAACACGGCAAGTGCTACCATCGCCGCGGTTGCCATCACACCAGTGAGAGGCAAGTGCAAGAGAAGACTCGATGCAGAGACTGCATCGGTTGAAGATACATGGGAAACCCCTCTTTTTGGGCATGTGAAGAACATGCCATGTCCTTGAATCTTTGATGCTCACGAAGGGTGGGCTCGAGCCATAAGCTATTAGGCTACGCCTCACGTGGATGGATTGAGGAGAAAAGTGGCTGACGACTTCGTGTGCGGCGGCCTGGAGAAGTGAAGGGCTTCTTGTTGGACGCCATTAAGTCCAGGGCTTTGAAGGAGAGAGTGGAGATGCGCTACACAGGCGAGTCCGTGGCGAGACCGTGGCGTGTTTTGCACGCAGAGGTAGCCTTCGCGATCTTGCCAGCCTGCAACATGCTGCGCCTGCCACACTCCTATCTTCACCTGCTCGTGCTGATCGCAATTGTGAAAGATCCTTTCTGTCCAACCCTCCCTGCGCTCAATGATAACTCTTGATTGCACACCTCACGCCTTCATGCTTGTACTTGCATTTTTACCTTCCTCGTTTGTCACCAAAGTGCTTTTTTTGTTTGGTTGCAACAGCCCCAAAAGCTGACCAACAGAGAAAAATGAGATGTGACTCGGCGATTGCAAGTGCAGTTGCTGGTTGCCGTTTGGCAGTCAGAGGAACGGATTGTTGTTAGACCAGCCTAGTTCAGCAGGGCGCTGTTTCCATTGGGAGCCACTTTTCCCTTATCAATCCATCAAACATGGCACAAGTCACCACGAACCGCCACCACAACTATTTGAACCGACAGGCAAGCTAACGCTCCCCGGCTTTTCGAATGCCTGGCCTGATTGCAGCGCAGCTCTGCACGCCTCAAATGGTATGCCGACGCCAGCCTGGCGTAGTTTTCTTCCCCGGCGCAACTGGGCCAGTGACCTGAAACTACTTTCTGGTTTCCCTTTCAACCAGCCCAGAAGGGCGCCCTCAAAGAAACGCAGCGAACCAAGCTGTGAAGTGAGGCGTTCGTCAAGGGAGGTTATTCAAGCAAGGGTCTTTAAGCATGTTTGAGCCACTGGCCCAACCGGTGAACATTGCCATGGTCAAGATGTGCGGCAACGATTTGATTCGGCCTTCGAGGCCATGTCTGACTGAGTGCGGAGTGTGCAACAGAACATCCCAAATCGCCTGCGATTCGGGGAAATGGGGAAACACTACCACCGCGAATCAAACCATTCATGAACGTTTGACATGGACCCCTTGGACCCCTTGCAGGAACTTGATTCGCTGAGTCACTCGTTGCTTGGGACTTTGGAGACTCCGCAGTGGACACTATAGTGGATGTGACTATATATACAGAGATATTTGTGTATATATGTAGTTGTATGTAAATATATGTATAATATGCATATACATATATATATATATATACACATATTTGTATATGTATATATGTAGTTGTTAGAATGCAGTTGTTGTTCGTGGATTTCAGTGGTTGAGGATTTAAACGAATTTGGTTCGCTACCATTTCAGACTTGTTTTGGGCACTCCATGTGTTCGGAAGTGAGGCTTTGCACTCTGCCTCTCAGACAGAGCCGCAGGAAGAGGTGTCCCAGAAAAGCCCTTCTTCGACGGCTTCGACCTCGAACCTTTCGCTTGCTTGAAATTTGTTCTTCCCCGAAGTGGCACAAAGTTGAGAAGTTATAGACGTTCTTTGAAGAGCAAGGAGGTTGGAAGCTGCGTCAGAAAAACCGTCAGAGCCCGGCAAGCTCAAACCCCTCATTGCCTGAGGCTGATGTGGCGGAAGCCTCAGCGGTTGATGGGCAGTTTCCTGTTGGCTTGCTGTCGCAACGAACACACACACAGACACACACGCATTGGCACTGCAAGTCGTTGGCCAATCCATGCAATCGTCTTGGCGCAAGCAGTCTTTTTTTTTTAATGCAGTATTTGGTGAGTGCAACCACGGGGCGCTTGCCATGAGCCAGCAGCTGCAGGAGCCGTCCGATGAGGACGCGTTGAATGCAGTCAAACGCTTGTGGGATGTGCAGCACACGCTCCGCGACAACTTGGAGAGCGGATATGTTCCCCCACTTTTCATCCACGAACAGGTCAATGTGTTGCAAGAACACTGCGGACAGGTTGGGCAACTCTTTTCCCATGACGACATTCGCACGGCTGCTGCCCTCTCCAGTGAGCTGTACAGCCCGAGTGCGTTGGAGGAGGAGGGCTTGCTGGCGACACTTCGCGGCGTATTGGAGCTTCACGAAGATGCAAGTGTGGAGGGCGCCGTGCTGAGGAGCTCACGCCTACCATGTGGGTGGCTGTGCTGTCCCGACCCAGCTGGGGTCCGCAAAGACAAAACCCTGTTCATTGGCTGGCGCGGAAGCCAGGATCTTAAGGATCTCTTCACCAATTTGGATTGGCGCCCAGTCCCGGGCCTAGACCGGACTAGTGTCTCGGTGCACTCGGGCCTTTGGAGCATGTTTGATGACATGAAGCGGGAATTCTGCGACGTTGAACCGAGCAGAATCGTCCTGTGTGGTCACTCCTTGGGTGGTGCCGTGGCCGCGGTGGCGCATCTCGCGATGGTGGCCGCGCCGCCCCAAGGCACGAGGTGGGCGTGGTGGCACATGCGGTCGCAGCCAGTCGCGCTTCACGCTCTCACCTTCGGAGCCCCAAGTGCCTTCATTTTCCACGAGAACCCAGAGGCGCTTCAGATTCGCCAGAAGGTCACCAACTCAGCTGCGAACTTGTTCTTCGAGTGGGATGTGGTGCCCCGGTTGCCAGCGTGCCAAGAGTTTGCAGTGGCAGCCGTGCGCGCGTGTATGTTCAAGGAGGTGAAACAGCTGTCTGTGCGCAAGAGGCTGTACCTCAGCGTGGGGGGCCTTCCCGATAAGCTCTTGGCCTTGCTTCAACACACGCTGGCATCAGAGCCTGACATGCAGAAGTACACCCACGCCAGCCGTCTCATCATGTGCCAGGCAGCTCAGCTTGAGGTCTGCAGGTGGAAACAAACCGGGGGCTGGTGGGAATGGCGCGAGCTGGACGATGCGGGGCTCCGAGGCTTGTCCTTTCCAGATCAGCCGGACCAGGCCCTGAACATCTCCCTGAAGGACCACCTCCTGTTGCCCTTCCGGTACTTGCCCGACTGGCGGCGTGACCACTGCAGCGCCTGCTTTGCCTGCGTCACGGAGCGCGGGTTTGTGGACTGCTACGGCTGCCAGCAGAGCACCTGCGGCCAGTGCTTCAACGCGAGCGCCCGGAGCCAGGCCCAGCACTTGGACCCCAACAGCGTCGCTGACAACTTCCCGCTGCACAAGCACAAGGCCCGCAGCTGCGAGCTCTTCTCGGCTTGCTTCGCCTCGCTGCCCTCGACCCCTCGGTACCTGAATCTGGCTGAGCTCAGGGAGGAGACGCTGAAGACCCAGCGGCTGGCCATCTCGAGCATCTCGCACGCCTGGAACTTGTGGACTGCTTTGTTCGCTTGGGAGCCAGCCGTGCTGTCCGGATGCCAAGAGTACCAGCGCCTCCAGCTATGTACGGATTGGGCGTCCAGCGTGGCCGAGGCCGTGGCGCACAAGAAAGGCACTCCCGGCACGATTGTCACCTGGGATCCCTCCGCCACGGATCTGTGCCGTCGGGTTCTCAAGCGAGAGCAGGTGCCTGATGTTGCCGCGGCGCTTCAAGAAGCGCACGCGAAGTCCCAGACGAAATTGGCTTCTTTCATGGAGGAGTGTACTCCGGCAATCAATCAGACCCTTCTGGCTGCAAGAACGCCGCACCAGCTGGCGACCTACTACGTAAAGGCCACCCTCGCTTGGAATTGCTTCTTTGCCGCTGGGGAGTGCCTCTATGCGGCCTACCTGTCCTGGGGCGATGGGAACATGGACTGGCTAAGGTGAGCGGTGGCAAAACCACTGACGAGACGGACAACTTCAACGCCGAGGCCCTGATCCAGGCCATGTTTGCGCTGCAGCTTGACGGCACTTTCGGGGGCGAGAGGCTTGACCCGTACACCCTGACCGGCCGAGCGCTCAAGACAAACTTCCGGGAGGTGATCTTGAAGGTGCACCCTGACAAACTGGTCCAGCACGCAAACGAGAGCCCAGAAGACTTTGTTGAGAGACTCAAGCAAGAGGAAGGCAAGGCCAAGATGTACATTCATCACTACCAGATCTTGAGCGTCTTCCTTGCAAACCGCGATGCTCCTTGCTGGGCGCAGCGCAAGGACCTCATCCAGAAGCTGTTCCAGAAGCGGGTGAAGCAGCACCGAGCCAGCTGCGGCCTATCTGGGCTCTGAGCTCAAAGGAGCACGCGCCCATGGCGCCCATGGCGCCCATCTTTCACCCCAGAAGGGGGTTATTTTTTCAAGAGTTGCTTGTTGCTACTCGCGGATCTGTACAGCGCGCGGAAAGCTTAAAACGGTCGCAAAGCTGCACGCCAGCGTCTCAAAGACTGGCATGCAAGCCGGATGGTGTGTCAACGTTTGTCAGGATTTGAAATTTGCGCAAGCCAAGCAATTTCTGCTCAGCTTGCACTTCCTATTCAGCCAGTCCATGCCACGTTGGCCATTGTTTCCCATACCCCGATTGCTTTCACGGCATTGGCGCCCCGTTCGAAGGAGCTTCTGGGAGCTTTCATCTTAGGTTGTCGACGATCTCTGAGTGTGGCCAGCAATTTTGAGGGCCAGTTGCAAGACTGACCGAAGCTGTTTCGGATGCCACTTTGGTCCGTCGTGGCCTTTATTTGTGTGCTGTTGATTTTCTCGCGGCCACGTTTGCAACTTTTGAACATTCGTTAGTCGCCCAAGAGCGGCATGCCTTGCGCGACTGGCTCGGCTTGGGACGAAAGGGTTGGGCGGCCCGATGGCCCAGAAGTGCTGCCGCGCCTCCGACTCGCGGTGCGATGCGCTTTGCTTAAGAGACACATTTTTCTGCAAATGCAGGGAGAAGACAAAAGGAATCACCATAAAGTGAAGACAACAATATATTCTGATAAAGTTCGTTGTTCATACAAGTGTTTCGCAGATTCGAGCAAAGAAGTGTATTAGCAAAAGTTAATTCACAAGGATGTGGCAGATAGATAGCATTTCCAGGCCACATCTCCAAAGTTGGGAGAAGGCTATAAATGCAAATATGCCTCAGACTCAGAAACAAGATAACTTCCAAAAATAAACATATTATTACTGAATTAGGATGAACTCCTATAAGAAAAAAACAATTGATGAGCAGTGAACTCCAGTCCAACAACAGTTGGTAAATGCTGTAAAGATGCATAGAGTAAATATTTGCAAAGAAAATCACGATAGAAATATGAATGAGCAAGCCAAATGAACCTGATGTAACTTCTAAAAGTAATGATTTTCAAAATTAACGCAATCTAACGAAGAAGCAAAGAGACATCTACTTTTGCTGCGGAATGAGCGCGTGTGCCCCGAGCTCCGCTCTAACGGTTGCCGGCTGGTCCTTGCGCTCGAGGTTGCGGTCCGGAGCGAGGAGGCCGCCTCCCCTGCTGGAACTTTGTTGCCCGGTCTGCCTTGCCTTCCTTTCCTTTGCCCGACTCTCCTTTGCGCGTCCTTGAGTGGTCCAACCTCGACGGCCTCAGCCCGGACGTGAGCCAGCTTTTGCCCAGACGGCTTGCTCGCCGAGCGCTGGCAGCCGCCTGGGCCGGAAACCTTCTCCGAGCGGTGACCGCAACAACATGTTGTGCGGCGTCATGATGATGCGTGCTGAGTTGGAACGGGCGCAGGAGAGAAATGGATGCAGCGTTAATCGATTGGGTGGTGCGGCTAGACTGGCGGACAGCCTGATCATGATATTGCGGCAAGCATGAGAGTGAGGCAGGCAGCATCATGACGATGCAGATAGGATCATGGTAATGCTCGCGGAAGCAGGTGACGCGTGCACACGGCCAGCATCATGCTTATGCGCTCGGGGGTTTGCCGAATGTATTGTGTAGACTCGTGTTCTGCGTTGCGAACGTCGTGGACTGCAGCCACGCCAGCAGATGATAAGCGTACCTGTTTCACTGCACAAAGGCGGAATCGGGGAGGACTGCGCCCATGCCAGCAGACGTTCCACTGCACACAGCATGGACTGCGCCCACTCCAGTAGCGCGTTGGGAACTGCACCCTCCCACCCTCCCAAGCGCACCTGTACCAAGTGCTAGCACCTGCTCACGTCGCTCTTGGGTGAGCCTGGGCCGGATTGGCTTCAATGGACACGGTGCACATGCGCGGGGCAAGCGTGTGCGCACGCCAGGATCGAGGAGCGAGAGGGGACGTGGCCTGTAGGCTGATCCATGTGTGCCTGTTGCCGGCAAGCCTCGGTTCATAGCCATGATTGTTGGAGGCTGCGGGCAGCAGACTTTGAATCCCAACGTGGGGGGTTGCAAACGCTGAAAATGGAGGCAGCAACTTTTCAAGATGAGTTAAGCTTCGAGAAGCCCAACACTCAGAGCACATGGGCTCACAAATGCATTTGAAGCATGGGCGACGAGAAGGACATATGACACGAAATCAATTCATGTGATGTGGGTTCGTGGATCGGCGCTATGGTGGCGATCAGCAGGATAGACTGAGGCCTTGATCAGGCGAGCAATGGCTTGTGGGGGGTCTTTGCCCCTTACTCGCTCAGATCTTTCTGTTGGCATCGATTCGCTCCTGCGGATGGCCTTCAGGCCTCAGCCATGTTGCGGATGGCGGAGGGCTTGCAGGCGGAGCGACGCCCGAATGAGCAAGTTTGTGATGCTGTTGAATCATGGTATCCACCAGGGCGATCGATCCGATGAGCTTCTGGAACGGTATCGCTGCATCGTCAACCGCTTAAGGACCGCCAGTTCTGGCCCCCCAAAAAAGCAGCAAAAAGGTAAAACTGGGCCGAAAGTCAATCTGCCAGATAGGTTGGACATCCGCTTCTTCATCCACGCCATGGACGAGACTCTGGGCTGCGCTTAGCGGAGCTTGGGTCAAGTTGGAGTCGGCCCGACGAGGTTCTCGGAGCCCGATGGCTGGGATGCGGCAGCGGCCGAGCGGCAGCTGCAGGAGCCAAAGCTTTCACTCGACATGGGTCCTTGATGTCATGGGTTTGTGTCTGCATGAGGCGCAAGAATGGGGTGGTTGGAGTTAGGGTGGGCCTTGCCCATCTTTTTGTGGTATCCTAGCGTAGCCCCCCCCCCTACGCAAGAACAGCATTTTTCAACCATTTTTTCACTATTCAAATCGTCATCCTTATTCATTTTGCATATTTCCACTCAAAACATTTCATAACAGTCTCAACCTCAAAATCCATCAAAAAAGTCACATTTTCTCATTTTCTATTCCATCATTCTTGTCATTGTTAGGATGCTTGAGTGGAAATAGGAGTATAGGGTGGTTCATATGATATGGTTATTGATGGTAGGATGCATGGGCAAGGTTAAGCTCATTCATAAAAAAAAAAAAATCAAAAATAATATTGTTAAAAAAATATCTTCAAAAAAAATAATAATTCAAAAACTAAATTTTCAAAAAAAAAATATAATATTTTCAAAAAAAAAGTAATTTTCCAAAAAAATAAATTCGCAAAAAATAAATTTTCAAAAATATTATTCCAAAAATTATGATAAATTATCTTACAATATTTTATCATAAATTTTGTAGAAATATTATGGGCAAGGTTAGGTAGATAGAATTTTATAACTTAAGTTCAGGATAATAATTCAATTGATGACCATTAAATTGTGTATATATCTTATCTCTTTCATGCATCATTTTAAAAATAATATTAATATCTCTCACGGTATTTTTCACATTAAACTTTTTTCCTTCAATATATGTTTTAATGTCTTCTTTTACATCAAACCCTTCCCTAAAATGACAAGTCAACATCCACAATATACCTTTAATCATTTCATATTTTTTCTTACTGATTTTCAGAAATATTCTAACATGACTATAAGGTGGTATTTTATACACAGTTAAAAATATCAAAATGGCATCTTCAACATTTCTTTCATCTATTTTTTTAATCTCCAACATATTTTCTATTATATTTTGATATCGTCTCCATCTTCTACAAGTTCTACATTCATCTTCTTTACCCAAAGCATAATCAATAATATTACTTACTATTCCATTAGGTAAATTCAATTTGTATAATTCCATATTTTCTTCTTTGAAGTGGCAACAGTCGTAGCATTTCTTATTGATATAATTATTGATTTCGGTTTCAACCATTTCTATTATATTATATATAGTTTTTATTTCTTTAAATACTTTTTACAAGAAATATTAAATTACTATTTAAATTATTATCATTTACAACTACAATTGCACCTAACACAGTAAGGAATAATATTATTCAGTTCGTGAGACAACTCGTTTGATTTACGTTGCGCTGTCAGATTTGTCATTATATTACCATTTTTCATGTCCATAGAAAAACCGTATCCGCAGTAATTGCATTGATTATTTATATTGTCTAAAAACCACTGTGTATTTACATAACCTTCTTTAGATATGGTTCTTTTTGCTTTCCTGTCCTGTTCTTTGTAATTTAATATTTTCCTTTCAAAATAACTCATAATACATTTTTGATTAAATACATCATCAATATCTTTTGTATATTTATAAAATTTAACTTTGTTTAAATCTCTACACCTTGTAATTGCAGTCCATATCCATTCTGGATAATTCTTTACCAAAAAATGGTTATAATCAAAAATTGTTATGGTATCATCAATGCTACTGCCTTGGGCAGAATGACAAGTTGAGCAATATGCAAATATAAAATTGCTTCTTATTTTAGCAACTTCTACGGATTGTAAAATTTCGGTTTTGACATTCTTTAATGTAAATATTCCATCGCTTCCGATATGAACTATTTTATATTTGAAATTTACATTAAACACTGATGTTTTAGTTTTAGTATATTCCCTACATGTTAAAAATTCGCCTACTTCGTATTCATCTTTTCTATTTTCTAATTTTCTAATTTCATTTGAGACATATTTACAAGTTGTATTTAAAAATGCTATGTTGTTGTTAGAATTGCTTATGTCAGTTGTATATTCGAAATATTTTTCAATAACTTTCATAATAGGTAATTTATTTTCAAAAATATCAAATTTAATATTTCTTAGTTTATCCTTATCTTCCTGTGTGTTAAGTCTCTTACATTCTTTTAACAAAATATTATATTCAAAAATGTTATCTATAATATTATCAGTATATAATTCATAGTCTCGAGTATTTGTTATCTCTTGAACTGGTTTTAATTGCTTGGTGTCTCCCGTTGCTATTATAATTTTGTTGTGTTTATTCTGCTCTACAAATTGTTTCATTCCCCAATATATATTTACATTACTGAAATAAATTTCATCAAATACGATTACATCAAATTCTGTAAAATCAAATGGTTCTAATTTTGCATCGCCGTAGTTTATTCCAAAAAACTTATTTATAGTCATTGCTTCACCTTCGAATGCCTGTAATAATTTATTAGTAGGACAAATAAATATTACCTTATATTTTTTTATCAACAATTTTTTGACATATATATGATTTTCCTGTGCCCGGTAGTTCGCCCCTGATCATAATAGGGTTATTCTGTTTAACAATCTCTATAATGTTATCAGTGTCGTATTCATCTTTAATATCAATAGTTTTACTTTCATGAACTGGTATTTTTATTAGATCATTCTTAACAACTTCATATTTTACAGTAGGAAGATTAATTTCATTGTCTCGCCCAGAAACTTTCCAACCTCCTATATCATTATGAAATTCTAATAATTGCTTTGCTTTCTCTACATTGTATGAATCAATTACAAAAGCATCGGTTTTCACACTATATACATTAATATCGTTGATTATTAATTTGTAAATGTCTTGGTTCATTTTAAAATTATGATGTTGCATGAGTAGTTCTTTAATATATCTATAGCCGTTTCTTAATACTGCTTTATCCTTTAATTTTAATATATAATATGATGCTTTTATATTTTCTCTATCTATTTCATATTTATACTCTTCGTCTTCTGTACCTATATGTGATAACCTATGAATTTGCCCTCTATCTGTGATAACTTATGAATTTTGCCTCCGTATTCTGTTTGATAATGGATTGCTTCATCAATACTCTTAAACAAAATGCTTTGATGCGCGGTAGCCTCTCCCTTCTCTAATAATCCAAAATTGACATTTCCTATTAATTTTTTACTTAGTATATCATCATTTTTATCATCTTCATCTATAGTAGTTTTCCAAAGTTCATTAACCATATCCTTATAGTTTGTTTTATGAATAAACGAAGGTTGTTTATGATATAATACTTTAATATTATATTGATTAATAAACTTTTTTAAAAACTTACCATAAACTAAATTATATTTTTTATTAAACATTAAGCCCTCTTTATTCCCCAGTAACGTTTTTGTCATTATGAATTCAACTTCTTCTTTTGATTTAATTTTTAAACTTTCCTCCAAAAGATGTTTACGTTTAATACGTTCCATACTGTATTTATTTGGTATATTCGGATAGTTAACTTCAATATATTATAATGTTAGATCGTGGAGTTCATCAATATTAATTGCATCATTGTATTCTTTCCAATTGTCAAACTGATTAAAAACTGGTATTTCAGTAATATCTATGAAACCCTTTGTAAATGCCTTATTTTCATCGATTTCAGTTTTACGCATTAAATTAAATTTATCCCATAATAATCCCGAAGGTGCTACAGTCCTTGTTTCGTTTAATATTTTTATATCAATGTCATTATAAAAAGATTTGTGAGATAAAATATATACAGATTTATTAAAATTAAACATTGCTTTATTCATATTGTTGTACATAGTTTCATTATTTGCTGCGATCCAACCATCGCTGGATGATTTAATTAAATTTTGAGTCTTTATGATATATGTTATCTTGTTAAATTTGACTCTAATTTCATCAATAATACCTGTGTATTTAATTCTGGGTTCATATCCAATATTTATCAACTGGAAAAATATTTCTGCCAAATCATTATCTTCGGGTACTAAATATACTTCCCTTGTTTTATCATCAGTTTTAATTTTAAGTATATCATCTATACATTTAATCATTTTGTATTGCGGTGGTTCCTCTCTTTCATTTATATAATAATCAGTGTGTGCCTTTATAGTGGGTAGTTTTGATATTACTTGTTTTTGTTGTATTTTGCTTAAATCGTGGTTTAATGTATAAATATGGTTATTTTTCACCATAGCGTAAAATGTTTTAATATGACGGTTTCTTATTTTTGGGTTATATTTGTAAATAAGTTCATTTACAAAATTAAAAATTCTAACTTGAATATGGTTGCTCCTACTTCCTTAAAATCATTCCTACCTATGATTTCAATAATTTTATCTCTGGTTAGTCTGTTGCGGGTTCTTTCATTCATGATTGTATCACTGTAAAAATCAGTTAATGAAGTTATCCAACATTCCTTTTTAATATAATTGCCTTGTTTAATTGCCTTTCGTATAGTGTCCTCACTCATTTTTAAATGTGTGTATATATATGCATGGAAAATGGATACGTTAGATGAATCTCTTAAATTTTCTGCTAATATATCAAACTTTTTACCTGATTTATTCATCATCTCCACGGACAATATTTTTATACCATCTAAGCCATATTCCTGATTTTCTAAATGTTCCATGTGTTTGGCAAACTCCTCGTCGTGTTTCATTATTTTTATTATTTTTGTAAATTCTGGATTTATTTGTTCCGTCTCTCCAAAATCAGTATCCATCGAAACACCTGTTTTTTTCAAAATTCTCTTGCGGATAAATTCCTTAGGAAATTCTTCTCCTATGTCAACTGTAGCACTTAATCGCTCATAGTTCCAAAGATAATAATACTCATCAAATGCTTTAAAGGCGGGTTTTGATTTCATTTTCTTTTTATCACCAATTATATAAAGGTCATACATAACAAAATATGTATCTTTTTTCCTTCCTCTACTCCCTATATATTCATTATCTTTGATTTTCCTATATTTTCCACCACCACCCTCTTCCTTTTTATTA